TCATGTGCTGGCACTTCAGCTGTCCCCCCCCACTGTCATGCTTCTCCTGCCCTCTGCTTTGGAGATGCCCTCAGGAACCTCCTTTTTGCTGGCAGGGTGGAGGAGACAAAGGAGGGGCGTGTTGATATCAAGGTATCCCCCTTTCCCAGCTCTTATACCCCATCCACAGAGAAAGGGGACTCAACAGGGCTTGAAACAGGTGGAGCTTGCTGGCAGCTGCTCTGATGTCTGATGTCTCAGCATACTTAAAGGAGCAATGCAAATCTCTGTCCCTCTCACTCTTTGTATGTCTAAGTCACTCACACAAACACATTCCATTGCTCACACCTGACTCCCAAACCAACACATACTTGTGATGTTATTGTTACTTCTTTCAAAGTGTGTTATTTTAGCTTTGTAATTGGTCTTTGCATTTCATCATTTTTATTTTTTAATGCTTAAATGTATTTCTTTGAGTAGCGAATTCTAAAATGCCTAACCTGTTGTGGCTGGAGCAATTATCCCTATGGTACCTTTTAAAAAATATATAGTGTATCTAGGTTTTGGTTTTGCTGGTAGTGTACATCTGCACATTACCTCTTAACAAAATTCATTCTCCATTTTTTTCCCATTTGTGTGCAGAACACTGGGTGGGAGTCTCATGGAATTGAGCTCGATCTCCTGGAGGCTTCTGCAGTCAAACTGGGAGTTTGGCCTCTGACAGTCTGGCAACTCAGTGAGGCTAAGGCAGCTGGCATGTCCCTATGGCCCTGAAAGAGGTAGGACATGGGTCTCCACATGCTGCCCTTGCCTGCAGGCACCACCCTCACAGCTTCAATTCACTGGGACTAGAAAACTATGGATAGGGGGACAGTACGCAGAGCCACCATCACCTTCCCCCCAGGAGCCACTGCTGAATATGCCAGCCACTTTTGGGAGTGGCACAGGGCCAGAGTGGGAGTGAGCCTGATTAGGCCCCCTTTGCCATCATCCAGGAGCCTCTTGAGGTGTCCAGCTGGATCCTGAACCCTGTAGCCCATCCCTGAACCCCCACCTGCATCCTAACCCTGTGCCCCAGCCTGGTGAAAGTGAGTGAGGATGGTGGATGAAGGGGGATGGAGTGAGTAGGGTGGGACTTCGGAGAAGGGATGAGCAAGAAGACTGGGGAAGGGTATTTGGGTTTAAGGTGGATCCTGGATTGCTCTTAAATTCAGAAAGGGATCTTATGCTTAAAAAGGCTGGAGACCACTGTACTACACAAAGACAGCCTGATCTGTGACTGTGAAGAAGACACCTAAACCACAGAACATCAAGTGAACCACTGCCCAACATGATCCTCCAGGGAGTGGTCTTGATTCATAGTCCCATGAGCCATAGCCATGAGCCACAGAATAAATGACAAAACGTGAAAGTTGACCATTAATGTCACTTTTCAAGTTCATCATACAAAAGAAGAACAAACTGGCCATGGTTTGTCACAATGCTAAACCCAACTTATCCCACTGTATGTTGACTTTTAAATCATGTTTTACATCATGATAACATGACTCCTTCTGCTCCTATTCTAACATGATCTAATTTTTTCCAACAAGGATAAGTCCTCACATTCTTCAGACTGTTGCTTTTGTTGGCAAGGAAGTTAAGCCAGAAAATATAGCTGATTGTTGAATAAATAAGTAACCAGAAGTATTCAAAGCTGTTGCAAGTTAAATCTATTAACACCGTTGGAATACTTGGGGCAACTACAGTAAAGGTTACTTGGAAGTTTCTATTCTGGTACTCTATTTTCAGTTGCTCATCCTTTAAATAATTTTCACCTGGAGAGCTGAACTTTTCCTGACCTTGTGTCCAACAGGAGAGCATATTTTTGTAAAATTTGAACAAAAACAATTCAGAGATGTTTGAGAATGGGGAGTAGGGGAAAAACTTTTCCTCTCCTCTCAATGGAAAAAAAATTGGAAGTTTTAAAAATTGCTGTAGGGCTGAGATGGCAACCCGTCATCTCAAGCATTTGCACACTTACAGCAGGATTATCTGGTTCTATTGACTCTCTCCTCAGACTCTATCATTTTTGCTGCAAGACTATTTATTTTGTTACGTTTTTTTTCAGTTACAGACTAACATGGCTACCTCTCTGAAACTTTTGTAGCACTGAAGTGGGTGACAGTAGAAAGCTGAAATGTGGCAGGGAGAAGAAAGTTCACTGTTTTTATAAAAATCTGTTTTGATTTGTCCCATGTAATAGGCATTAAATCGTAGCTTGTGCATGCAAAGTTTAATGATGATAGCACTTTATAACAACATTGTAAAAAAAAAGAGTTGTAATGCATATAGGGCCATGGTTATCATACTGAACTCTTTGTTATTCAGGCTGAGCTGTGCCGAAAGACAGCAAAGTCTGGGCACTGCTGAAACTCCACTTTTAAGTCTCCAAAACAGTGAAGCAGGATGCTATGAAAATAGTGTGTATGTGGCTAAGGCATTTTGTTACAACTCTAAGCTGGAGTCTCTACTTGATTTCATGCTGAAACGCATGAACAAAAGCAGTTCACCAAGCTGCCAGTTCACCCAGCTGCAAAATAGACCCCTGGCCCATCAGTCAGGATAGTCAAACCTGGTCGGTAAGATGTTGGTTACATCACTCCCTTGTGTTGGTTCACTGTCATCTATGAGACTTTGCCATCATTAACTTTACTGTTTTATCATGTGCAACCTTTATTTTGTCAGTTCCTGGTTTTTAAGTGACTTAAGTTTGCAGTTTTAATGTTCTCATAATGTAGGATTTTTTTTTAGCAGAACATATGGGAATATTCATGCAACTTGATTGTCTAGAAGAAAAGTGATTCTCAGGCAGGAGTAAGTGTGCCTCGGGGTCTGCAGCAGTTTCCCAGGGGGTACATCAGCAAATCTAGATATTTGCCTAGTTCTAAAACAGACTATGTAAAAACTCTAGCAAAGTCCCTGCATGCTAAAATATCTTGTAGTGACTTTATCCTGCCCTAGATACCACACAGTGAATTGTATAGGTATATTCCAATGTATTTATATGGTCACAATGAGAAACCATTTTCAGTAAACGTCTAGAGTGACACTTCTGAATGTTTGTCTGATTTTTTTAAGCAAGCAGATTATTTATTTATTTAGCGTTTGCATACCCGAGCGATGGCATCTTCAGTAACCTGATACCGCGCTTCTAGAGTTCCGGACCACCCTGCGGGTCAGCAGGACAAATCAGACTCCTGAAAGGGATCCAGTTGTCTGAAAAGGCTGAGAGCCTCTGCTCCGGGAGGCCCCTCGGGACTGGGCAGTCTAATTATTACACAGCCCTGCCTCTCTAGGGAGCCCCCTTCAGTCTCGGCTAAAAATGCGGTTCCGGCGAGCTGGGCGGAGCCTTTTAGAAGGGGGATTGCACCTAGCCAGCTGCCGGAGCAGGATCCCAGTTCAGGCCAGGCCTGGGCATTGTGCCTTTCCGTCCCCAAGCAGCTCCGAGTTCAAGCCGCGGCCCTCGCTCCAGACAGGGACCTCCCCCCTACCCGGGAGGGGGTTACACCGCTGCAGGGAGCCCTGAGCGGACTGGGGCGTTTGTCTGCGCGCGGGCATTGCCCTTCCCCGGCGCAGTAGAGCCGCGTCCAGCAGAGCCCGCGCTCCCTGCCCAGGGGATCGGCCCCTCTCGGAGCGCCGCAGCCCCCCTTTGGGGCCGGGGGCGGCCCCGGCTGGCTGCTGCGGAGGGGCGGTCGCTCACGCAGCGCCGAGTGGGCTCGCGCAGTCACGCTTCCAGCTCCCGCCGCCAAGAGCTGCCCTGGGCTCGCCGCTGCCCGGCGGCGTTTCCCCACGCGCTCGGAGGCCGGCGCGCTGCAAGGCAATCCCCGCTCCGAGCTGCCAACGGGACGGCTGCGGCTTGGCACAGGGACTGCGGGGTGGGCACGGGAGCCGGGCTGCCCCCTCTGGCCGGTCGTCCTAGGGCCTGCGGGGGCTCTGTAGAGCAGCGATCACTCACTGGGGGAAGGAGCCCTCTGCTACAAAGGGCTCTTTGATGTCCGCCTTTCCTAACAATGGACAATAAACCTTCAGGCGGACACCGGATCAAAAGCCACATGACTTTCTAAAACACACATTAACTCTGGCCCACGCCTAGCCCTCCTTAGATCTGGCACCGAGACAATTAGCGCTTGCCTGGAGGCGAGAGCAAACCCGGCCTTTTCTTCCAGCAGGCGGCTTTCTCTTTGGAGGCTGCTTAAGGTCATCGGCACAAGCCATCTAAAACTCGCTATTTATTCTTAAAGCGATAGCGGCCTTTCAGGGGGATTTCAGAGTCTTTAAGTAGCGCCCGGGTGATGTAGGACATGATTAGATTGGAGCGGTGCCTTTCTCCGCTGGAAACAGCACTCAAGGACAAATATAACACTTTTGTCCCGAGGGCCTGAAAAGGGGCTTTCAAAAAAAAAAGGCGTAATTAAAAGCCAGGCTAAACTCGCCACGGCGGAGCTGGGGGAGACCCAACAGCCCAACCCGCTCCGTTAAAGATCGGGATTTGGAGGAGACAATTCGGAGCAGAAGAAGGTGCCTTTTGTTCCTCGTACAATTGCACCGTTTGTTGTGTAATCGCTCTGCTGCTATGTGTGAACTTTACCAGAAGGAAACATGAGCCTCAGCAGCATTGCCCTGGTTGCTGCTCCTCCCCCCTCCCCCCACCTGCCCCCACTCCTCCGCCGCTTCTTTCTCCTTCCTCCCGCTGAGCTGCTGTTGCTGCTTGTTTGCACTCAGCTTATCCGGAGCGGAAATTCCTTTCCGTTTTTGTGAATGACAAACTCATTAACAATTCATCAACACAACCTGTTCCAGCCGGTCCGTCGCCACAGCAACAGCCCCTTCCGCGCGCCCTCATTGGCTGAGCGAGAGAATGTATCCATTGAGACGTTCTGTGTTTGTATCCATTGAGGAGCTGCCTGGCGCTGGGGGTGTGCGGGGCTGATTCAAAGGGACATTGAGCACATCAAGGGGCCGGAGCCGCGGCGGCGGAGGGGAAATCACATTGCGAGAAGCAGGGGGAGCCGGGGCTGATGAGCCACATGCCAGGGGCCAGAGGGAGAGGATTTCCCACCAGAGCAGGGACCGTGTGTTGTGCTCAGCGAAAGGAGGGCAAGTCAACTGCACGTTAATTGGATTTCATTCACTTGGGGAGGAGAAAGCGCCCGAGCGGCTAGCCGGGCACAGCGATTAGACAGGTTCATTCAGGGACTCATTGACAAAAAAAGCGAGGCGGGCCGGGCGTGCTGCCACCCCACGCAGTGCTCTGGTCACCTCCCCACGAATCCCTTGCTGGCCGCGCAGGGGAGGAGGCTCGGGAGTCACTCGCCTGGGGTGGCAGGAGTTCAGAGCGGGGTGCGGAGCCCCGTGCCTCAGCGAGCGGGGAGTTTCTAAGCCGCGCTCCGCTCTCGCCCAGCTTTTCCCCATGCTGGATACGTTCCGCCCCGTGCCCTTCGCCTCGGAGATGGCTGTCAGTAAAACGGCGGCGTGGCTGAACGAGCAGCTGGACTTGGGCAGCGACCGGCTGCTGCTCATGGACTGCCGCTCGCAGGAGCTGTACGAGTCGTCCCACATCGAGTCCGCCCTGCACGTCGCGCTGCCCGGCATCATGCTGCGGCGGCTGCAGAAGGGCAACCTGCCCCTGCGCGCCCTCTTCTCCAGCAGCGAGGCGGACCGCGAGAAGTTTGCCCGGCGCTGCGGGACCCACACGGTGGTGCTGTACGACGAGCACAGCAGCGAGTGGAACGAGAACACGGGCGGCGAGTCGGTGCTGGGTTTGCTGCTCAAGCGCCTGAAAGATGAAGGCTGCAAAGCGTTTTACCTGGAAGGTGAGGGGTTAAACGGGCCTGCTGGCGAGGGGGGATGTCCCGCAAGGATCTAGCGCCGGGGAGGGGACGGGGTGCTCTTTGATTGTCGCCTGGAGTCGAGCTGGGAACATGCCTCGGGCTTAGCCAGTTTCTGACCCTCCATGGCAAAGCGAGCAGGAGCCATCTCGGGACAGCCCGGCTCATGCCTTCACACCTGGTGCAAATCCCCGACAGTCACAAACCTGGGCCGGGGGGAAACCCTCCTCCCGGCTGGGAGTCAGGCCGGGACTCAGGAAGCGAACCCCTTAGCTGGGGGGGAGGGATGGAAGGGCTTGTGGCTGAAGGAATGTCTGGAAAGAGTCGCAGCTGCAGGAGGCAAATGCACTGAGCGTGTCCCCGTCTCCCGCTGACAGCAATGCGATCTTCCCCACCCTGGCCGCCTCCTGCGGCTTCCTTTGTGCCCCTCTCCGCCGGAACCGGGCTGTGGGGCGCTACGGATCAGAGCTAGGGAGCCCCGTCGAAAGTCGCGGCCGCATCTCAGGTTGCATGTGTGCTGTGCTCTTCTCCCCAGGTGGCTTCAGCAAATTCCAGGCCGAATTCGCCCTGCACTGTGAAACGAACCTAGACAGCTCTTGTAGCAGCAGTTCTCCTTCCCTGCCGGTCCTGGGGCTGGGAGGCCTGCGAATCAGCTCCGATTCGTCTTCCGACATTGAATCTGACACTGACCGAGACCCCAATAGTGCCACTGACTCAGATGGCAGCCCGCTGTCCAACAGCCAGCCTTCCTTCCCAGTCGAGATCTTGCCCTACCTCTACTTGGGCTGTGCCAAAGACTCCACCAACCTGGACGTGTTAGAAGAGTTTGGCATCAAATACATCTTGAACGTGACCCCCAATCTGCCTAATCTCTTTGAGAACGCCGGAGAGTTCAAATACAAGCAGATCCCCATCTCTGATCACTGGAGTCAAAACTTGTCTCAGTTCTTTCCCGAGGCCATCTCTTTCATAGGTGAGCCCTATTCATTACGACTACTCAGTGCCCAACAGTTGTCTGTGCTTTGCAGGGGGTAAACCCTTAATCTTTTGTATTTGTCAGCCTCATATTTCACATAGCTGTTGCTACTTTGCAAACTGAACAAAATTAAAAGAGCGGATAGAATTTGTTTTTCTATGTTTAGGCGACAAGCCCCATTGAATTAGCAACTATATTCACGGGTTGCAAATATGTTTATTTGTATTTCGAGCCGATATGGGATCAGTTCTTCACAATCAGTCCCAGGGTGCTAAATCTGGGGAATATAAAGAATCCACATTGGTGAATTTAGTTGTAGCAGTTTTATTCTGTATCCAATTTATAGTCTTAAAAAGAGAAGTGATGTTTTGAGTGGTGTTTTTTGTTTCCAAGACAATTACAATTAAAAGTATTTTCAGATTTATAGTGTTATAGTTAAATATAGCCTGTAAATAACTGCCCTTTCCGGAGTGATAGTGATTTTAAGTAACTCCTTTAAATAATTCTGTCCATCCGTTTTCTCAGGGTAAATGGCTTAATTCTGCCTAAAATCGAGGGTGCAAGATACAGTCGCTAAACACATCACCTGAAGCAAATTATAATGATCTCTTAGTATTATTAGTTGATTGCTTTTTTTATCTGGGGCGGGAAAGAGAGGGTTATGGATGGGCAAAATAGTTGTTGGAAAACGGTGCTAATCCGGCCGAGAGATACCGGTACTAGTGAAGTATGTTAGGTAATCTGAACCCAGCAAGAGAAAAAAAAAAGTGGGCTGGAAACCACGAAGAAACTAATCTCCAGGCATTGTAATGCATTTCCTTTTACAAAGGAACCCATTTTCCAGCAACGCTGACATCCTGTTCCTCCTAATGGGCTGTCCCCTGTGACTTCCCTCTTTCTTTTCAAATGCCTGAATACCTCCATTGTTAACAGTACAACAGTTGGAGAATAATTTAATAGACCTTTGCAGTCTGCTGGTCTGTGTAAAAAGCATTCAGTGGCATATGGCGTGGCTTCTAGCTTTCACATGCTGGGGAAATACTTACACAGGGCGAATGTTTTCCTTTGCGCCAGTCTTCGGTACAAATAGTGTCGTTGAAAAGGAAAAAGTCTGAGCTGGGTCAGAGCGCTTTCCTTTCTGCCACTGCGAAGTTGTCAATAGCTTTGTGATTTACACGCAGTTCTGCTCTTGGGGCCCGATTCTGATCTTACTTCGGTTTTGCACTAGTGTATCCCCCCCCTCCCTTTGCCTCCAGGGGAGTGACTCCGAATTCACACCCGTAAGAAGTGAGATCCGAATCCGCCCCAGGTCATTCTCCTCTCTGTCACAGCTGGTCCTGAGCATCTTTTGTCTTGTGTTCCCTGTGCGTGCAGATGAAGCTCGGGGGAAGAACTGCGGCGTCCTGGTGCACTGCTTAGCGGGGATCAGCCGCTCCGTCACGGTGACCGTCGCGTACCTCATGCAAAAGCTCAACTTGTCCATGAACGACGCCTACGACATCGTCAAGACGAAGAAATCCAACATCTCGCCCAACTTCAACTTCATGGGCCAGCTGCTGGACTTCGAGCGGACGCTGGGGCTCAGCAGCCCCTGCGACAACCGGGTGCCCGGCCAGCAGCTGTACTTCTCCACCCCCTCCAACCAGAACGTCTTCCAAGTGGATTCCCGGCAGTCCACGTGAGCGCCCAGCGGCCTCCCGCCCAGCCCGGCCCGGCTCGGCTCGGCTCACGTGACCCTTCCTCCAGCTGCTTCTCTCTGGCAGCGGCAAGGAGACGGAGCTTTGCTCTGCAGGGGGCTTGGGGATCGGCCCCTGCCGGTGCATGATGGGAAAAGGTTACACGGGATGGAATCGGCTCTTGCAACGGGAGGGAACTCGCTGAGGTCTCCCGGGAAGAGCAGGTGGCAGCTGCCCCCAGTTGGAACTGAGGACTCCCAACACCTAGGGTGAGACTGGGCATTACGAGCACGTGTTTTCTAGCCACTGGGAACCGACTACTTCCTTCTGGGGTTTGCGATCTGTACCATGAATTGTTGTCTTCAGTGAAGACGGGTTGGTTTATTTTTTTTAATTTAGAGGAGCCAAAGAGAGGTTTCAGCTCAGTGTATTGGGGGGTACTTGTTTGCCTGAGCTCTGTAGTGCTTGCTATTTGATCAGTGTAAATATTTAATCTTAAATCCACGGGCAATGTTTATTTTTTTAACTTGCGCCTATAGAAACGAACCCAAAGGACTGCTCCATTTGTGTGCTCTTCATGAATGATGGTTGTCCCCCGACCCCTTGCAAAGAACACCTTTGCAGCATGCGTGATTTTTATTGTCCAATTGAGCTGAGGCAAACTTGAGAGGCAATGGCTACTATGATCAGAAACTTGTTACATTCTGGGAATCAGTGGAGTCTCTTCCATTCTAGTTTTCTTTTCCTTGTAAGATCTCTTCCCCCCCCTCCCCCACTCCTCTGGGGCTGCTGTTTTTCACTTCTTCTTTTTTAAAGGTTTGTAAATAGATCATAGTGGAAGAGACTTGTCTTCAGAAACATTTCAGATATGTTAAACAGTGCTTTATCTCTGTACAAACTCTTCAGGGAGCTTCACCTCAAATGCAATTTTTTGGTGTATAAAACTGGAAGTACATGTGAGCATATGTACTCGTGCATATGCAAGGTGAACTTGCAGATGATTGCCAATGAGGGAGAGCCTAATTCTGTGGTGTAAAAGGTTTAAGCTGGAATTTATTATAAAAATGTACATTTTTAAATTATTAATAAATAACTATTTTTCGCTATTGGGAATCTGAGTGGTTTATTTTCCTCTTGGTGCGTGTGGGTGTGGGTGTGATGAAATGCATACACACCTAAATATTTTTAAAGAGGGGCACAAGATGTTTGTGCAATCCTAGCACAATAGAGCCCTGATCTCTGCCTTGGTCCACAGTAATCTTAATAATTTATGCACAGATAACATTGTCATCTTGGCCTAGCAGGGAGGATGGACTTGGATATCCTCTTTTTAATCACCAAAAAAAGACAGCATGAAGCAACTTAACTTCCCCACACTGCCCTGTCAACAAATCTCTACCTTCTAGGGATGAGAGGAGTAGTTTCCTTTCTGCTGATCATGCTAAAAAGATTGTTTTCTACCATGTGACTACTCATCCACTAAAAATGGACTTGAAATCTACCTCATGTCACTGTGTTTTCTACGATGTGACTACTCATCCACTAATAATGGACTTGAAATCTACCTCATGTCACTGTGCTGACCTGTCCTAGCTCTAATGCCTGAGCCACCCAGTTTCTTATTTAGCCATCCTGAAGCAATTCTGTCTGTGCAGTAGGAACAGATTAGATTTTAGTTATGGTAACACTCAAGACTAACTTCCTGTTTGTTATAGCTCATTTAGAAAGCAACGCTGATAATAATATACATTTCACCCTAAAGCTGCATGTAGTCAAGCCTGGATGGATTATTCTCCAGCATATTCTGTGGCCTGGGTGCTATAGAATTCCTGGCAATCAAAACGGGATCTCCAGTAACTTTAGGAAGTGAAAAACAATGAAAAACAAAACAGAAAAAAGTCTGTGTCTCATGGAGTAGTGGCCTAAATAGAGTGCATAAACTGTGAAAGTAGAAGTGGGTTGCAGTTAAACTTGGCTTGTGCTAATCCAGTTTTGAACGGTTTCCGTTCTTGGCATTCCCCATACTGTGCTGTTCAAAGTGGAGATTTGCAAGCAGCTCTAGCAATTTCCTGTCCAGCTGCAGCTCAAGTGACTTTTTTTTTTAATATGGTCTGTGGATAATTTTAGCCAGTTTCCTCTTTGTGGATTATTAATCTGCTTTCCTTGTAGAAGCTGCATAGCTATGTTCCTACTGTTCTGCTGAAGCCAACAGATGGCCGCCCCACCACTTCCTCTCGTTTCACTGTGGGTTTGTTGTCAGGCCACTTCTGAAATTAATAATGCTTTCTGGCCGAGTGCCACAGGCCATTACCACAAAAGGGAAGTAACACATGTGAATAGCAGGAAGCTGAGCAGGGTCACTGTGAACTGAACCTGTTGAGTGCAATTGAGCCTCTCCCATCGAGCAAGTGTATAACTTCCCCCTCTCCCCTGCTTTTTTTAAAAAGGGAGTCCTCTGAATTATCCTGCACCTAAGCAATTCCTGATGTGAAAAGGTTGCTGCAAAATTAGTAGCAAATGCTAATTGTGGGGAGGTACCCAGCAGGTGGGAGAGACAGGAAGCAGGGGAGAAGTACAGCACCAGCTTGGCTGTAAAGATTTAGTTTTCTTCGCAAACTCTGCTTTGAGAACTTAGTATTCATGAGGGTTTCCTGCTTCCTTCCTGTTTCACCAAATGACTAATACTAAATTGGTGGTTCTGCAATTCATCATTTTTTTTCCCCTCCCAGAACGAGCAAATAGCAAAGGCTAGTTCTTCAGCTGTAAATCAGTGTTGCTATGTTGGCTTTTTTCAACCGAGCTGCACCAAAGTACCCCAGCTGAGATGCAAGCCCTGGCTGTTTAGTCACATGTGATTTTGGGGTGGAAAGAGATCTACTGTCTGCAGCCCCACATAACTGCCCATGGTGGGTATAGGGGGAACTGATTACTGGGAAGTAGTAGTTGTCAAACATGCTGAGCCCTGGGTCCTCTTGTTAAGTCTCCACCCCACTTTCTATTGCCAACACTTGTCTTTAATACCAATTAATCATTCCCTCCCTCCAACCCTGCCTCAGTCTTTGTTGGGGTTAATAGGAGGTCTCAGGCTTGGGAAGGGATGGCAGCTGCTGTAGAGGCTCGAAGGACTGCTTGTCGGGAGAAAATAAAACCTCTGTTTGTGGGGAGAGGCAGTGGGAGAGAAATGTCACTTCTCTCTGCTGTAAAGTGGTACATCCCAAAGGGAAGCAGATTCTGAATTGCTATTCAGAAGTTGCTAAGCTTTTAGGAGAGAAAGCAGTGCCTGGCAGGCTCAAGTTCCACCAGGGGAGGGAAATCTCACCTCACTCGTGCCTTTAACTTAGGGGTGAGGTGCTGCCCCCTTGATAGGCAATTGGAAAACTCCATTTGACTTCAGGGGGCTTGGCAAGACGGTGAACCTGCATTAGCATTACACTTTCAACCTGCTATTTAATACTCTCCTTAATTAACTCACTGTATCACTGCTTTTCCTCTTCTTTCCCATCCCTTTACATCTTTTCCAGCCACTTTCTCCCTTAAAAGGTCTTACCCCTTTTTATTTGTCACTTTTCTGTCCTCAAACCCATCTCCTCCTTCCCCTTTCTCCCATTCTCCTCCTTCCTTTGCACTGTTTTCTCCCTCCTCCCATACTGTACTTCCACTCTTTTCCTATACCTGCCAACTCTCTGCTCTGTCTCTCAAGTCTGACCCCAGGAAACTCCTTACCTCTCATCTTCCTCATTAATCTTTTTCTGCTCTCCTTATGCCCTAAGATCTGTTCCCACTTTCCCTCACTATAAGTCATCTCTCCTACTCTTGCTGTAGATGGTTTTAGTGAAAAATCAGAAAATCTCCCAGGTGGGAGAATTTGCAGGGACAGTCTTGGTGGACATAGGGGCAGACGAGAGAGAGAAAAATGCCTATTCTTCCCAGGACATAGGGGCAGGATGAATAGGGGCAGACAAGAGAGAGAGAAAAATGCCTATTCTTCCCTGCCCAGAGCCAAGCAAATTCCCTTTCATTCCCCTCTCCCACTAGATCAGTTTCACTCAATGTAATTGCATGAGGAGTTATGTGTTTGGGGGTGGAGGGGGAACCAGAGTGCCATCAAATCAGGTGCTGGCTGGGGGGAGGTGTCCTTGAGATGTATATGTGTTGACTCAGTCTGCTATCAGTTTCTCATAGTTCCTTCAAGTAGCCAGGTATGATGGGTCCTTCAAAACTAGGACAGACCACAAATATTCTTGTAAAACCAGCCCCTGAAATGAGACCAGAGGAGATACTTAGGAGCAGTTCTTCACCCTATTCTCCCTCCCCCATGACTCTACTGCTTGACCCTCTCAGCACAGGTTTTAGGGTCCTATGACCATGGCTGCCAGATCCCTGTGCTGTGGGCACCAGCACCCAAGCATCATATTATCTCTGCAGTAGCCTGGCTCTCAGCCTAGCTGCTCTCCTGCTTCCATTAAAAAGCTGGGTTGGGCATCTACCTCTGCACAGCACAGGCAGCCAACTTTACAGGATTGCTTTGTCCAGTCTGATCTTACATTACTTGATAGAAAGCCCCCTCCCCAAGTACTTTGATAGGCTGTTCTACACTTTCACTATGAGGCTGGTTTTTTTCCCCTCTTGATCTTTATCCTAGTTTTCTTTTGTTCAGTTTTTTTCCCCATTCCTACTACATTAGTACCCCCACACTTTAAGGCTGCGTCTAGACTAGCATGATTTTGCAGAAATACTTTTAACTAGCATGTGCCTTTGCGCAAAAGATTTGCTTTTGCGCAAAAGCATCCGTGCCAGTGTAGACGCTCTCTTGTGCAAGAAAGCGCCGATGGCCATTTTAGCCATCGGGCTTTCTTGCGCAAGAAATTAACATTCCTGTCTACACTGGCCCTCTTGTGCAAGAGGGCTTATGCCTGAACGGGAGCATCAAAGTATTTGCGCAAGAAGCACTGATTTTGTACATTACAAAGTCAGTGTTCTTGTGCAAATTCTTGTGGCCAGTGTAGACAGGCGGCAAGTTTTTGCACAATAGCGGCCATTTTTGCGCAAAATATTGCCAGTCTAGACGCACCCTATAATTTTAAAATAGTGATGGATTCCTTTCCAGTATTGTGGGATCTTCTACAAGGATATTTATTACATTAAAATAATAGCAAAAAAGTGTCTCCCTGAACCAGAATGTTTCTATAAGCATTTTTCTATATATATATTATTTTATTTCTCTAAGTTGTTTTCACATTCATTCAGTCATCATTGAGTAGAAGAAAGAGGCAGGGCAGCTGAAGCACAATAAGATTGCAAAAAGGACTGCAGCACTGGTCTTATGGACCTTCTTTACTGCACAGTTAACCCAGGCTGTTATGTGGATTTTAGTCCAAACCCACCATTCTCTCAGGAAAATTTTCTGGCTAGAAATGGAGGTGCTTTAAACCTGAGCTAACTTAACTGGCTGTAGTATACATTAGAATCTAGGCCCCATCCGCTTTGCTATGAGGATGCAGGCTACATCACTCAACTCCTATGATCCAGTCTTCTGTCACCCCCCCCTTCCCCCCCAAATGATTAGCAAGTTTCACAATTGAGCGGGCAAGACTCCTAGGTTATGTCTACCCCGTCCCTGTTTTGCGCAAAAAATATGCAAATGAGGTGAAGCATGGAATATTGCCATGCCTCATTTGCATAATCAATGAGGCTCTGGTTTTACGCAAACACCCCCTCTTGTGCAAGAGCCGTTATTCTGCATTTTTTTCAGGAAGAACGGCTCTTGCGCAAGAGGGGGGTTTTGCTCTAAAAGGAGCTGTGTAGACGGCTCCTTTTTGTGAAAAAGCCTCTTGTGCAAAAATGGAGCCTCATTAATTATGCAAATGAGGCATGGAGATATTCCACGCTTTGCCTCATTTGCATATGTTTTGTGCAAAATGAGGGCAGTGTAAACATAGTCCTAGAGTATCTCAGCACAAAGAACTATGGGATATACCTGTGTGTGTAGAGTATCTCAAGCACAAAGAACTATGGGATATACCTGTGTGTGTCTGGCGGTGAGTGGAGAAACAGAGAGGGCACAGTAATATGGGGGGGAGGGGCTTTGCTGTGGGAGCACTCAGCCGGGCAGA